GTCGTAGGGCCGTAATATTTTAGTATGATCTAGAAGACTTGGTATCTACCGTCAAAAAAATAATCATAACTAGTTGAAGGTGCATTTAGCCTGAAGGCAAGTTGCATGAACTTCCCGAAATGTGTAAGTAGTATACTTAATCGATCCAATTTTAGAATAAGCAACTTGATCTGCCTTTAACAATATTTTTTATTTTTATAATTATTAAGAAATTTTATTTATCACTATCATTGATTATAAAAAAAAATATTTTTTTATTCTTTTTTATTATTTTTTAATAAATAATCTGAATACATAAGTGGTTCTCATTGTGACAAAATTGTATCGACGCATACGATATTTTTTTCAAATTGTAGAAAACGATGATAATTTTATACTTATTAAAGTAAAGAATTTCTTGGTCCTTTCACGACCTCGGAGACGAAGTATATTTTCTAGGCAGAGGCTTCATATGTTTTGATTTTTCAAAATCGGTTTCGGTAGGATGAGCTTAAATGTGGACGAAAATTTAACACTTTTTTTCAACAGTTAATTACAAGAAAATGGCTCGGTAGATTTTCACCCCTAAATTAATCAGCATCATTCCCAACTAATATCTTTCGAACAGTTTTTTGATTTTCAAAATCGGTTCGGTAGGATGAGCTTAAATGTGGACGAAAATTTAACACTTTTTTTTCAACAGTTAATTACAAGAAAACGGCTCGGTAGATTTCACCTAAATTAATCAGCATCATTCCCAACTAATATCTTTCGAACAGTTTTTTGATTTTTCAAAATCGGTTCGGTAGGATGAGCTTAAATGTGGACGAAAATTTAACACTTTTTTTCAACAGTTAATTACAAGAAAACGGCTCGGTAGATTTTCACCTAAAATTAATCAGCATCATTCCCAACTAATATCTTTCGAACAGTTTTTGATTTTTCAAAATCGGTTTCGGTAGGATGAGCTTAATGTGGACGAAAATTTAACACTTTTTTTCAACAGTTAATTACAAGAAAACGGCTCGGTAGATTTTCACCTAAAATTAATCAGCATCATTCCAAATGATATCTTTCGAACAGTTTTTGATTTCCAAAATCGGTTCGGTAGGATGAGCTTAAATGTGGACGAAAATTTAACACTTTTTTTTTCAACAGTTAATTACAAGAAAACGGCTCGGTAGATTTTCACCTAAAATTAATCAGCATCATTCCCAACTAATATCTTTCGAACAGTTTTTGATTTTTCAAAATCGGTTCGGTAGGATGAGCTTAAATGTGGAACGAAAATTTAAACACTTTTTTTCAACATTTAATTACAAGAAAACGGCTCGGTAGATTTTCACCTAAAATTAATCAGCATCATTCCCAACTATATCTTTCGAACAGTTTTTGATTTTTCAAAATCGGTTCGTAGGATGAGCTTAAATGTGGACGAAAATTTAACACTTTTTTTCAACAGTTAATTACAAGAAAACGGCTCGGTAGATTTCACCTAAATTAATCAGCATCATTCCCAAATGATATCTTTCGAACAGTTTTTGATTTTCCAAAATCGGTTCGGTAGGATGAGCTTGAATGTGGACGAAAATTTAACACTTTTTTTCAACAGTTAATTACAAGAAAACGGCTCGGTAGATTTTCACCTAAAATTAATCAGCACCATTCCCAACTAAATCTTTCGAACAGTTTTTGATTTTTTAAAATCGGTCGGTAGGATGAGCTTAAATGTGGACGAAAAGTTTTTTTCAATTAAAAGAAAAAACGGCTTGGCAGATCGTTGCACAAAACTGACAACGATAGTCCTCACCGAAATACATCAAATGCTTTTAATTTCTAAAATCGGTTCAGCGTTTTTGAGAAAACGTCGATCAAAAGTCTATTTTGACAAATGCCAAAAAGACCATACTGATTTTTGCAAACTTTGACGAATTTTTTAAAGCTAAACCAGTTGTCGTAGGGCCGTAATATTTTAGTATGACCTAGAAACTATGGTATCTATCGTCAAAAAAATAATCATAAAAATCGTCGAATTTTTTTTTTTTAAAACTTTATTACAAGAAAACGGCCCGGCCGATCTTTACCAAAAACTAATCAGCACGATTCCCAACCAATATCTATCAAACGGTTTTTGAATTTTCAGAATCGATTCAGAGTTGCGGGCTAAAACGTGGACGAAAAATTTTTTCACTTTTTCTGCAATTTACAAAGAAACGGCCCGGCCGTTCGCCGCACAAAACTCAGAGACGATAGTCCTCATCGAGATACATCAAATGGCTTTTAATTTTTGAAATCGGTCCAGCCGTTTTTGGAGAAAACGTCGTTTACGAGTTAAACGGCAACGATAAAAAAAATCTGTTCACACACACACACACACACACATACACACACACCACCCACACACACACACCACACACACACATACTTTTTCCAAATTTGGTCTCATTCGATTCAGAATGGCTTGAAACGTCCAGAAAACATAAAATTAGCGATTCGGATTTTTTGATGAAAACATAAACTTCTCCTTCGGGAAGTTAAAAATCGTCGAAATTTTTTTTTTTTAAACTTTATTACAAGAAAACGGCCCGGCCGATCTCTACCAAAAACTAATCAGCACGATTCCCAACCAATATCTTTCGAACGGTTTTTGAATTTTCGAAATCGATTCAGAATTGCGGGCTAAAACGTGGACGAAAAATTTTTCACTTTTCTGCAATTTACAAAGAAACGGCCCGGCCGATCGCCGCACAAAACTCAGAGACGATAGTCCTCATCGAGATACATCAAATGGCTTTTAAATTTTTGAAATCGGTCCATCCGTTTTGGAGAAAACGTCGATTTACGGCAAAAAATCTGTTCACACCACACACACACACACACACACATACACACACAATGCAATCATCTGGGAAATATCAACAGATAGAAACATTAGAAGACATGCGAAAATATCTAAAGCCATTGGGTGGAAAATAAAATCTTTTGATGAAAGCGCCATGAGAGTTGCCTTAAATTGCAAACCTATAATTTCAGAACACGCAGATGAGCATACTAGAGAGCTGATGGAGAGAATAACCGAAGCCTGTGATATCAGTATGACTCGTAAACATGGCATAAATCAAAGACAATCTGTGCACTGGTGGACTGAAGAAATCAGCTCTCTTCGTAAAGAGTGCCTAAAGAAAAGAAGGATCTCTCAGCGTGGATATAGTCTCAGTAATTCTGCACAACTGGTAGTGGAATATAAACAAGCACGTAGACAACTAAATAAAGCTATCAAAGATAGTAAAGTTAGGTGCTGGAAAGAACTTTTGGATGAAGTCGAGGAAAATCCATGGGGAAGACCTTATAAGACTGTAATGTCTCGCCTCAAAAGCCAGCCAATACCTTCACCAACTTGCCCACGACTATTGAATAAAATAGTAACTACTTTGTTTCCACGACAACCTAATTTGAACTACCAGGTAACACATGTAGAACAGAATAATATTGCACTTATAACACTGCAAGAACTGATGGAAGCTTGTCATCGCGTTGGTAATAGCAAGGCACCGGGATTAGATGGAATTCCTAATATTGCCTTGAAAACATCAATTATGACATCTCCGACAATGTTTCTTAATGCATATAATACATGCCTGAAAGAAGGGGTTTTTCCACGAAAATGGAAACAGCAAAGACTAGTGCTTATTCCCAAAGGAAAAAAACCACCAGATGAACCATCATCCTATCGTCCAATATGCATGCTGGATACAGCGGGTAAAATTTTTGAAAGAATAATTCACCAAAGAATAGATGCAGTAGTTGATCCAATCCTAGCAGACAATCAGTATGGTTTTCGCAAAGGGCGATCAACTATCGATGCTATAAACTTGGTAGTTAATACCGCCAAGGAGGCAATTGCTGGAACCAGATGGAAGGGGGGTTCCAAAAAGTACTGCCTTGTAGCTACATTGGATATAAAAAATGCTTTTAATTCTGCAAACTGGGATTGCATTATGAATGCACTCCGTGACAAGAACGTGCCAGCATACCTATGCAATATAGTCGCAAGCTACTTTACAGACAGAATTCTAATGTACCATTCACGCGATGGTACAGAAAAATATAATATAACAGGAGGTGTGCCGCAGGGCTCTGTTCTAGGCCCTTTGCTGTGGAATATTATGTATGATGGCCTTTTGAGACTAGAGTTTCCAGAATGTGTGAAACTAGTAGCATATGCAGACGATGTTGCCATAGTGGTTGTCTCCAAACAAATTGATGACATCGTAAGCCTATTCGATATTACATTCAGAAAAATTAATCGGTGGATGGGAACAATGAATCTCCAATTAGCACAACAAAAAAGTGAAGCTGTTCTTATCACTAGTAGGAAAAGAATTGAGACCATCAAGCTAAAGATAGGAAATCTTGAGATCACGTCAAAACCTCACATCTGTTACCTTGGCGTAATGCTTGATGCTCGTTTGAATTTCAATCAACAGGTGGAACACGTTAGTGCTAAGGAGTCAATAGTTAGGACGAAACTTGCTCGACTGATGCCTAATATTGGAGGTCCTAAACAAACCAGAAGGATATTACTATCGTCAGTTATTACTTCAGTGCTGACATATGGTATCTCCATATGGGGTGATGCTCTTAAATCTCAAAAATCGAGGAGAATGGCAGGGCCCTTATACCGTCTCAGTGCTATAAGAATTGCTTGCGCATTTCGCACAATATCGGCGGAAGCAGTGTGCGTCATTTCAGGAACTGTGCCTCTCTTAGTCTTAGCAGAGGAAAGACGGACAATTTACCATAGAAGACATCAACAACTGTGTCCTGAAAAGTTAAGATTAGAAGAACGGCAGAACAGCATTGACCGATGGCAGCGACTGTGGGATGTCGCTGTAAAGGGCAGATGGACGCATCGTCTCATTCCTAACATCAAAGTCTGGCTAAGTCGCAAGCACGGGCGAAGTAAACTATTATACTACGCAAATGCTATCGGGGCATGGCTGTTTTCGAGCCTACCTACACCGATTCAAGCACGATAGCTCGCCGGATTGCCCATATTTTTTGGGCGAAATCGAAGATGCTGAGCACGTGTTCTTCGTGTGCCCGCGATTTGGTGCTCTACGGGATGATGTGGAGGAGACATTGAGACGCACAATTACCCCAGGTAATGTTGTTGAAGTGATGCTGACAAGTGAAGCTGCTTGGAACGCCATAGACAGATTTGCGAGAGACGTTTTTAATGGACCTGCGTTCTATAGAGAGAGAAAGGACGAATGGGACTTCGCCCATTTAAAAGATAAGTAAAATGTTTATGAATTATAACATTGTTTATAACAAGTTAAGAATTGTAACATTCTAGATCCTCCCCCACGAAGTAAGAGCTCGAAATGGCTCGAAACGTCGAGAAAACAAAATTAGCGAATCAGATTTTTTGATGTAAACATAAACTTCTCCTTCGGGAAGTTAAAAACGAGCCCACCCATCAAAAATTTGGTTCCGACGCCACTGTATATATATATATATATATATATATATATAAACATATATATATATATATAATATATATATATATATATATATGTTTCAATATTTTTAATAATATTGTACTTACGGTGCACTTTGGGCAAATGAAAAGAGACATGTTTTCAATTACACCTAACACAGGAATTCCAACCTGAAACAAAGATAATAACTATTTAAAAGTGGCATTTAGCCTTAAGACAAGTTGCATAAACTTCCCGAAATGTGTAATAATTGACCTAATCAACCGAAATTGAAATTTAGATATTTAGATAAAATTAGTCAACTGTTTGTTTAAAATAAAGTTAACGCTTTCAAGTAAATCTAAACTTTTTTAAATTAACACATTTAAATTATTTGTAATTATATCAATTATATTGCACAGACTCTATTAGTGCTTGTATGTCCTAAAATTGTAGCTCAAATTTTAATTAATTAATATAAATCAACCAATTTTCGTAAAACTGTTTATAGGACATAGAACTTTATGGTCATGTTAAATTTTATGAAAAACTTTTTCATGTTTTTTTAAAAATCTTTATAAATTATTTTGTAAAATATTAAGCATCTGCTAAAAGAATAATACTGTCACGATTACATAAATCATGCACGCATTTATATATATTTTTAACTTCCCGTAGGGTAAGTTATAGTAATCGTCCAAAAATCAAAAATGAAAATTTTTGCATATCTCACGTTTCAGAGGTTTCTGAACACTTTGACATACCTCAGAAAAAATAGATGTGTTTGTGTTTTGTGTGTGCGCATGTTTTCGTCAACGTTTTTGGGCGCACGGATCAGCCGATTTGAATGGTTCAGAAAGCAATCAATTCCAATTGATAGGAGATGTGCTGATTAGTTTTTGGCAAAGGCAGGTCCAGTCATTACGGAGATACAAAGGAAAGAGTGCAGAAAATACAAATCGAATTTTTGAGAGAACGGAGCATCCGATTTAAATGATTCAAAAAACATTTCATTTGTATTGACAAAATGATGAATTGGTTAAATTTTTGGGTATGCAGGTCTAGCGGTTTCGGAGATGCAGAGGAAAATAAATAGAAATGATATTTGGAGGTCTAAAATGATAATTAAATATATGCAGATCAAATTATCAGGTATTTTATAGATATTTTAATAATAAGAATATATTTTGTTACAATTTGTTTGTTTAGGTTCCGTACTAAGATTTTTAATTTTTAAAGATCACTTATACGGTTCAAACAAATTTCAAAATTATTATATAATAATAATAAAACTGTATATATTCCATATGCGTTATTCAACTTGTAAGAAATTAACCTTAGATGGATTCATTCATGGCATCTCTTGTTAATGTAAACATTCTTAGGAGTTTTGAGCGCCTTAAGTCTTATCAGTTGCATGGACAAATACATATATAATAACATCTCTTCGAAAACATTTAAAACAATTGTTAATAACCATTGATCAACATTTATGGATTATTCTTTTTTTACTCGAATATTTCATTACGGTACGGGAAGTTCCAGCAATTTGCCTTAAGACACGATACCATACACCACTAGTTGATTTTTTAAAATCGATTCTAGTTTGTGAGCTAAAATGTGCACAAAAGTTTAACACTTTTTTCTAAATTACAAGGAAACGGCTCGGCCGATCGTCGCAAAAAACTGAGAAACGCAAATCCTTATCAAGTGACATCGATTGGCTTGTAAATTTCTGAAATCGGTTCAGGCGTTTTTGAGAAAACGTCGATGAAAAATCTAATTTTGATAAATGCCAAAAAAACTATACTAATTTTTGCAAACTTTGACGAATTTTTAAAGCTAAACGAGTTGTCGTAGGGCCGTAATATTTCAGTATGGAATCTACCGTCAAAAAAAATTCATAAAAATCGCCGAAAATAATTTTTTTTAACACCTTATTACAAGAAAACGGCTCTGCTGATCTCTACCAAAAACTAATCAGCACGATTCCCAATCAATATCTTTCGAACGGTTTTTGAATTTTCAAAATCGATTCAGAATTGCGGGCTAAAACGTAGACGAAAAATTTTTCACTTTTTTGCAAATTACAAAGAAACGGCTTGGCTGATCGCCGCGCAAAATTGACAAATAATAGTCCTCTTCGAGATGCATGGAATGGCTTTTAAATTTTTGGAATCGGTCCAGACGTTTTTGAGAAAACATCGATTTACGGCAAAAAATCTGTTCACATACACACACACACACACGCACACATATACTTTTTCCAAATTTGGTCTCATTCGATTCAGAATGGCTAGTAACGTCGAGAAAACATAAAATTAGCGAATCGAATTTTTTTATGAAAACATAAACTTCTCCTTCGGGAAATTAAATATTATATCAAAAATTGATTAAGAAACGCTTTAAAAAATAATCCATTATTAGAGAAAAAATTAAATCTATAATATTAAAGCATTGCTGCGTCTTTCAAGACATAAAGAAATAAAAACAAAGTCTTTTACCTTTCTACAAAAGTCAATTTCCTTCCTGACATCGAGCAAAGCAACTTCTTGTGGCGTCGTAATAATTATGGCACCGGTCAAATCACATTCCTTCAAATATGTATGTGCCGATAAATGTTCATCGGATGTACCAGGGGGGGTATCCATTAACAAATATTCCATATCGGTACCCCAATCGGTTTGACTGAGAAATTTCTGTATCATACCTAAAGAAAAATTAGTCTAAACTCTGATAAATGGGGTAATTATATCTATTTATGCTTGTTTATTGGTAGTAAAAACTGTGAAAATGTCTAATTTATATTTATATTTATATTTATATTCATATTTAGATTTATATTTATAGTTATAGGGAGATGATATTATATTGATAGGTATATGGGATAGTTAGTTTATATTTATATTATATTTATATTTATAGTTAGATTTATATATTATAGTTATATTTATATTTTATATTATATTTATATTTATTTTATATTTATATTATATTTATATTTATATTTATATTTATATTTATATTTAGATTTATATTTATATTATTTATATTACGGATACAGGATTAAATTTAATAATTACAGAAAATAAATTATCTTAAATGAATTAATTACAGTAAAAATACAACTAATAAACAATATTAAGCCTAACATTAGTATTATCTAATACAATAACTTAAAGAAATTTTTTTTATAAAAAATTGCTGTGCGATCAGGCGTATTTACATATAAACAAGCAAGAAAGAATGTTATGATAACAGAATCCTCGAACATTCCCCCGGACTTGTTTTTATGTAAAATACGCCTGATCGCACGGCAAATAGACAGACATTTTCACAATACTCATACATAAGATACTCAAAGAATTTTGTTTTAGTTTTTTTACCATTTTTCTTAGGTCCTCGCCATATGACAGCATCATCAGGGTTGATGAAAAATCCAATGGAGATTATGCACAAGTTATCGTTGATGAACTGGATAAAGAAGATGTATATATATATATATATATATATATATATATATATATATTAGGGTGGTCCTTAAAATGGTCATTTTCGAATTTCCTTGCTCCCAGGGGCTCAAATGGTTCCAAATTGATAAAAAACAATTCTCTGAAAGTTTTAGCTCTTAATATTAACTTTTAGATAGAGCGCAATTCAATGAAAGTTTGTATGGAAAGAGCATGAAACAATTTTTGAAAATTTAAAAAAAATGTTTTAGGTATAACTTAGCGACAAATGAATGAGTTTTATTCATTCATTTGTTCGCTAAATTACATTTAAAAAACATTTTTAAAATTTTGAAAAATTTTCCATGCTATTTCCATACAAAATTTTGATTGAATTGCGCTCTATCTAAACGTTAATATTAAGAGCTAAAACTTTCAGAGAATTGTTTTTTATCTATTTGGAACCATTTGAGCCCCTGGGAGCAAGGAAATTCGAAAATGACCATTTTAAGGACCACCCTAATATATATATATATACATATATATACATATATATATATATATATATATATAGTTATATTTCTCAGCATTTGCTATAAGATAATACATTCCCATTTTTCCTAAATTACCAATACAAAAGCCATAAAAAATTATTTTTGCCTAAATTCCGTACATATCCCTTACATCTGGCCGACAGAACTTCATTACAGTGTGTTACAAAGTCTTGTGAAGTCAAAAACATTAACAAATATTCTCGAAAAAACGAGTGTTTTTAACAAAAAATTTTAGTGATATGGATATATAAATTATTACAGGTAAATAATTTTTGCTATTCAATTTTATATAAAAAACCTTTTCTAGTTACTTTTCTTTACTCTTTACGCCGGTATATAATCCATTCCTTTATAATTTTTCTAAATAATCTCTAATAACCATCATTAATTAATGTTAGTCAATAGTTTAAAAAAAACATTGCCTTTGACAGAATAAACCTGATGATGGGACGTATGTAGTTCCGAAACGTCGTTATTAAACATCTTCAAAAACCAAATTGTTTTTTATTATTGGATTTACTATTCGGAAAAGAAACGATCAATGTATTGAAAAACTCCAGAACTTATCTATTGTATAATATATATATATATATATATATATATATATATATACAATATATATATATAATATATATATATTAGGGTTAGAAGAGGGTAAGTTTAATTATATTTTTATTACCACTGGTGACCATCCAGAACCAGAACTGTGAACAGTTTCTTGCAAAACTCCGAAACATCTCGGTTGACTTGGGCCACAAATGTCGAAATCCAAAACACCTACCTGTTGGATAAAAAAGTAAAACTTTTTTGCATTTATAATAGCATTAAAAAAATTTATAATATTTCAAAACAATAATGTAATTATGTAATTAAAGTCATACTTCAAATACGACGTGATCGGTTTGTCATTGTAATTGGCATTTAGAGCTTAAGCCTTAGAAAAATTGTACTCATCATGTAATTAAAATTAACGTACATTCATTGACTGATTGTTTTTTTTGACTATTTCGCTAGCGATACAGTCTCATTATTTGAGCAGCTGTAATATTATATGTGTCTTGCCTATACAAATAATTTCTAAAAATCTACTATATATATAAAAAAAGATTGTGTTAGTTAGAACACTTATAACTCACGAACGGCTGAACCGATTTAGCTGAAAATTGGCAAGCAGGTAGTTTAAAGCCAGGAGAAGGACATAGGATACTTTTTATCCCGTTTTTCATTTAAATTCAAAATTAATTTATTTAATTATAAACTATACATTTAGTTTATTCAATCTATGTTTCATATTTTAATCCATGACATTTACTTTCAACTGTCAACTGTCAACCGGTGTTTTGTTTGATACAAATATATTAAAATAAATTTTTTAATCTTTACGGAAAATTATTACAAAGTGGCAAATAAATTAATTCTTAATAATAACAAGCGATGCCAGATGAACGATGGAGAGAAATTCATTTCTTGAAAATGGCAATGTAAATTTATATATACTAAGGTATTTATGTATATTTGTTTATACGTATTTATCAATAAGTATAATCATTAACAAATTAATAAAAAAATTTTAAAATATAATTTCTTAAACTAACCTCAAAATTTGTAATAAAAATGTAAACAGTTCTATATTAATCTTCATACATATCTCATAAAATGTTTATGAGAGTTT